AGTGTAGGTAAGACCCCAAAAGCTCAACAGCAATGAAAACAAGAGACAGAAAGTAGCAAATCATCAAAAGAAAGCGTTTACAAAGATTAGATTTATAAGCAACTTACGAGGAAATTTTCGATATGCTCCAGGAGAATTATCCAATATAAATATAGAGGAAAGATCGGCATGCACAGCCGAGAGATCTTTGGTGTATCCACACCCACCATAATCCATTGTACAGTGTTGCCTAAATTCTACTTGAAAAAAGGACTTCCAATAAAAATGTTTGACTTAAAATTTTTCCAGCAAGGAGCTATAGTAAAGCTGTTGCAAATTACCAACAACCCATGCAAAAAACTAGTTAGAATTAAAAGTACATGTCCAGATCTTGCATTGTAATGAAAATAAAAAGAGTAATACCTAAAATACCGTCTTTGTAAAATTCCTTTACCGCCATCAAGCTTATCAGCTACCGAACTGCCATAGATTTCCATCGAAGCAGTAAAAATGACCAAATCATACCATTTACTAACCATATTTAAAAAGTGGTCAACATGTGGTCGACAGTGAACAAAAAACCTTACAGGATGACGGTCGATGTTCACCTGGAATGAGAACCTTTACTAGCATTGGTCCTCTTAAAACAAGTTCTGCATCTTATACAAACTTCTGCCAGCTAAAACGGCATAAAATGAATTCAAAACAAACTCGTAGAACGAAGTCTGGCGGCGTCCCCGGCTTGACCATCGGCCTAACTATCCCATCATGATGTGAATGTATTAAGGTCTCGTCTAGGTCCAATACTAAAATTTTCCGTCGCACAACGGCTGCAAAAAAAAGAAGATATTTTTTAGCATTAACAGACCGTAAAGGTTATTTAGGTAATTTTATTTCGGTACAATAAGTGAGTGGTCGAAAAGAACAGTAGGAACCATGTGGTTCGATAAACTAACGACCACTGCACAAATCATGACTTTTAGCAGTTTTAGATGTAAAGCTAGGGTTAAAATCGACTTGTCAGCGGACAACTTAGAAAAGAATATTAAAGTAAACAGAATTACATAAACGGTGCGCAGATAATGGTGATAACGGTAAAAAGTCGTATTTCACCACCTGACGTTTTCGGATCTAAAAAAACAATAGAAAGAAGAAGAAAACATCTACCTTAACCACCTACAATAGCTAACAAAACAGCTGAATATTTGCGTATATTGAACTTTGTCTGAAATGAAGAAAACAGTGATTCAGTTTCACCAACTTTCTGTAACCATTATTCAACATTTAATATAAATTTTGCAGACTTGTCAGAAATATTTAGTTTAAATTACAAACCTGTATATAACATAACATAAAAAATATATACTAAGAACTGTTATTCCGGTACCACAAGCGGATACAATAATCGATTGAAGTATATTATGAAAATCTGATTGAGAAATAAAAGTTTATATTGAGGAGAAAAAAAAAAAAAAA